CTATCTTTGCAATAGCCAATGTGAATTGACGCCATTTTTAGAGCAAAACATGATGGGAAAATGGTGTTCGCGTGTTTGATGTACTATAAAATAAAATCTTTTGTGAGAAACCRAGCATTTTTGCAAAAAGCGCAAAAACAGATTTGGGGATTATTATTCTACCGTACAAAAAATCCGAGGAYTTTGGCTTCCATCATGTTTCGCTGTACAACAGAATGTCGTGACTACATATTGTTTATAGAAAGGTGTCATGTTTTATAAAAGAAGGTAGTGATATGAATATGTAGACCGCAGGACACTAGGAAACACACAACATAGAAATAGTCGAGGTCGGAAATTAATGTTTACTWATTTATCATGATGGTTGTTCGCCCGGAAAAACCTCCTTTCCAAGCACTATCAATTTATACTATAAATGTAATGTCGATATGGTACTTACCTATCTCTAGCTGACGATGTGTATGACGTGACTCTGTCACGCCACTGCGTGACCAGTGGATAAGCATCATATGATATGAAGACCCCATCAAGAGCTCGTAAAACATCTAGATCAGTCTTGCTTGGGTAACATCTGAAGCAATCAATATGTACTTCTATTCAATACTAGCAATGCGTAAATCTCAATCAYTATTAGTCATAATCAATCATTACCAATGCATAACACAAACTTGAATATATACAAGCTGGAGCATATGATGATGATGTGCAAAAAAACATACTGATTTCTATAAGAGCATAAAGATATAAAAGCATTAAAACAGATTTTCCGCGTTTCTATTCTTTATTAGAAACGCTTGCAAAAGTTTAACTTTCAGCTCGTGATGCAAAACTAGAGAATAGAAACACGGGAAAGTATCTTGTAATTCTTACATGAAATTTTTTTTTTTTTTAAATGTCCTCTATTATATATTCCGTAGGATATGCTTCTTCAAATCTTTTACTTAAATCAAAAATAAAAAAATCCGAAAGATAACATAAACATAACATTCAATTCATGGAACACAATTCATATCTACATGTAAAACTTAGAAGGAATCCTTACCCATTAATAAATAGTGTCATCACTTCTCGTCTGTCATGGCAGTTCATGTCACTATTATCTGAACTAGATTTTCTTTCCATTGACTTTTTTGATTCATTAGACATTGTTCTGGCTGACACTCGATTGCGTCCATGTTGTGGCTGATACTGCTTTACCTTTTCTAAAGAGTTCTTTTCATTCAAGTCGCCTGTGTTTGTGTTTATTGCTTTATCAGTATCATCTTCAATGCTCATTTTGAGTTGATCAAGAAGATTGGTCTTACACAAAAACAGTTTATCATCACCATCTGTGATTTTTAAATCATCAAGCGATGTTTGATTTGTTGACATCTCTTGGCTTAAGTTTTCCTGACGGTCACTATAATTTTGTGTGCTTGCACCTGATTGGTTCGTTGATGATAAAGAAGTCTGTAATGACATTTTCCCAAACTGTTCACATGTATTATGATCAACAATGTCGGATAAAGTCTGGCTAGTGCTAGTACTAGGGCTAGTTTGTAAAGATGAGCAATTACTATTATGATCTTCACTCATAAATACACTGCTTGAGTTGCTTTCAGTCCTATGTGGGGTAGAGAATTCATTCTTATTGTGATGGTYGCTAAAATACTTTTGACTTGGTGTTTGCRGAGTGGAAAKCCTTGAATCTTGATGGCCATCATGTGTGTTTGCTCTGGATAACTGCTTGATAAAGTATTCCTCCAGACACTCTAGTCCTGATGACTTTGACAAATCAGCATACATACCAAGAAAATTCCAGTATTCAGACCAAGGAACATTCTGGGCATGTGCAAGATTCCTGAAATGTTTTTACCATTGAATTTATTATTTTTCTCTCTCGTATCCWTTTGTACTATGGCCGCTGACTGCTCATTGCCGGATTAGCTTGCTACGGGCAATTATCATAATTTGAGTTAAAGTTAAAGTTCAACCTTTGAGCCTTAAACATATATCATTATAACATCTCCAATAAAGAATATATACAATCTAATTTTTAACCTTGAATTCTGAAATTACTGTGCTTTTTGTACTATTAACACTGGAACTGGACCAAAGCAATCTCTATACATGTACATGACACAAAAATTATATTGTTAGATTGTATTTAGTACACATACCTTCCAATTCTCTCTAATCCACGAGTACTGTCACCTCGTCTGATGTCTTCATATTTCCTTTTTTCTTCTAATGACTTGGGAGGAGTTTTCCATTGTCTGTGGAATTCTGCTGCCTGGCTCATAAATTCAATATTGGGGAATATTAAAATCATTAAACTTGCAAACAAACAACGAATCTCTACATGTAACAATAAAAATATTTTTTTTCTTTAATTTATTTTCTTACCTCATTTGCTTGCATTAAATGTAAAAGAGCTTATTCTTGTATCCAGATCCTTCTCAAATGGAAAATCGAAGGCTTTGGTTGGAGACGAGTGAGTCTTTAATTTGATTGGTTCAAAAATTCCTATGCGCCATCAAAATGCATATATCGACCAACCCAGATTCTAGGTCTTCAAGTATCATCTCCAACAACAGCCTTCGATTTTCTGATTTTCTTCGATCTGGGTACAAGAATTATGGAAAGGGCTACTAAGCCTAAACGCTCGTTAATTAAGTTACAGTCAACTCTCTCGTAAGCGACCACCTCAAGATCAAGAAAAAGTGATGAAAAACGTTAGCAAAGGAAATCCAAACAATGGTAATCACAACACAGGAGCCCCAAATAGTTCAAAACAYGTTGTTCGTATTTCAGTGTATAAAATCTTTGAACAATGATACTGCTTCCATGCCATTTTGCAAAGTCTTGAAGTTGATTTTTAATGTCCTACTTCTATTGTTTTCAATAGAATTAGGACATTATAGTGTACTTTATAGTTAATAGTATGCTTTTACGATTTGTACTCTATCAAATTAAGTAAAATCATTATGTAATTTGTGTAAGATTTATAAGTAAATTAAACACACCTCTATTGCGCAGTTGAGGGTGGTTGCTTAAGGAAGAGGAAAAACAATGAAAATTTCTACAAATTCAATCCCAAAGGTGGTCACAGTTGCCTACATGAGTCGTCGCCTACGAGAGAGTTTTTYACAGAGTTTATATGGGAAACAAAATGGGAAATTCAAAGGTGGTCGCTTACGATAGATGGTCACTTACGAGAGGTGGTCGCTTACGAGAGGTGGTCGCTTACAAGAGTGGTCGTTCAAAGAGAGTTAACTGTATTCATTATTTGACAAAACTGTTTCTTGTTAAAACCATTTTTACCTTGGATGGAGACATTGGACCTGCATATGCTCGAACAGTCATCTTAGGATCAACAGGGCTGTGTGTGGTGGAGGGTTGTCTATAATCTCTGGAATGTACATCAGGAGACCATGGTTCTCCTATGCTTGGTGGGGAAGTATCACCCTCAGATCCAAACACAGGGACATAATAGCTATCTAACAAGCAAATTGATTAAAGTAAGAAAACATGCAGGCTATTGTAAGTCGTAGCAACCTAACACTTCATCCACAAGGACTGCTATGCATGGGGCCAGGCATGTTTGGACATATTTGGGCGGGCTTATTAACATCAATAATGCATTCTTTGATGCTAATAGACTTGAAAGTGTAACATTTGTAATATTCAAGACCATTAAAAAGGTTAGCATAATTTAAATACCTTCGAGGATGTGCTTAATTTCTTCCATTATCATGACAGATCCAGTTTGTGAGCTGCATCTTGAACAAATTATCTAGAAACAAGTCACAAGTAGAATTGATATAAAAAGACAATCAAAACTTAATACAGTATAAGCAGCTTGTTGTAGCATTATTTTTTTAACCTCTTGCACCAGAAACTTAGCATATTAAAACAACCTTTTGAAAAAACTATTCTACTTGATCAGTGTTACATTTATAGCAATTAAAAAAGTTTTGAAATTCTGAGARGATTAATTTTACTCAATTTTTACTGCTGCCTAATTAAAACAGTATATTCTAAGTTACCTGTCCTGGTGTGTCRCCATAYTTGTTCTTTGGTGATGTGTTTGTCAAAGGATGACTTACTAAATATTTCACAACCTCAACATGGCCAAACTTGCTGGCAAAGTGTAGAGGTGTTTCAAAATTCTGAAATTACATAAGGAAGAATGATCACTTCATTTACAGCTATAACAAAAATACAATATCGAAAAATAACTATTATCAGTAAAATAGTTGGACATTCTCCTGCAGTAATAAGCAGATCATGGTTAACAGCTTGATTGGCGTCTTTCAACATGTAGGATTTGCTATAGAAATGCTATCTACACTGTATWATTATTTACTTAAAAATCCTTTGTGGAATAATATCTGTGCTCTGGAGTTCAATCTGAGTACAGTATTATTTTTCTAGCGAAAAGTTTCCACTAAAATATAAAGTACTTGAAAAAAATAACAAAACTCATTGCCTCTTTCTATGCATTATACTACATGTAGTCTGTCTAACATCATCAACTTAAGAAATATAAAACGGCACGCGTGTCTCTGTCCTCTAATATAAACACAGGCAGGTGCGAGTTTGAAAAACACGAGAGAAGCAAGCTTAGGAACACAAGCGTAGCAAGTGTTTCTCTTGCTTCTCGAGTGTTTTTCAACTCCCACCATGTTTATATCAGAGGACAGAGACACAAGTGGCCGTTTTATATTTCTTTTATAAAATTTTTCGAGCGAAAAGAAAATTTAGCCAGTAAGCCGTGTCTCTGTCCTCAGATATAAACATGGTCGTCAGCCAATCAGAGCGCGCATTATATATCAAAAATTTTATAAAACCCCTTAAGGATGGCTGGCTTTCTAATTTGACTGGATGACTTGACAAGGAGAAGCTTCATAAGCTCACTTGATTTAATGYATGGCCTGCTATAAGTTACAATCTTTCATAGTATTGCAAGATCTCGGAAGTATTAAAAAAATCTTTCCATGATGTTGCAACACAATGACAGATCTTTTTTAAAGTCATCAAAGTCCTCCTTCATGAGCCTGTCCGACAACATTGGAAGCAAACACATTCATCTTCTTGTCATCATTATCATCATCAACACATTATAATTCATAACAGTAAGATTTGTAAATTAATTAATTCAACTTACACCTTTGTCAGGAGTATTGAGGTACAAATCAGCTAAAAACTGTTTCCGTCTATAATGTATGGGCGAGAGTTTCACATCTTTGTGTAGTGAAAGATAGTGGACCCAAAATCTGTCACTCTCTATAGTGTCAACAATTAACTTACAAATTCCAGCCTTGTTTTCTTTGGCAGCAATATGTAATGCATTATAACGAAATCCTTCTTGTAGTACAACAGGGGTATCCCCTGAACTGATTAAATATCGTGGATTAGTATTCACAATGCTCAAGAATTCCTGAAAATTTCCGGACTCGATTATTTTACGAAATTGAATTAGTTCTTGTGGTGTTGGCTTTTTGAAATTACTAACTGGATCGACAGGCTTTTGAACAGGACTCGGAGAGCAAGAGATACTTGAAAATGACGATAGGGAAAACCTTTCTGCTTCTTCTCGTGTTTTGAAGGCCTTGAATCGTGCACCTTTGCCTTTGAGTTGCTTGACTGCTTGAAGAGCTTGCTCTTTTGAGCTGAAAACTGCTGGATYAGTCTTTATATTTCCATCGCTATTGCATCGATCAAATGACACACCATAGTGAAAGACACCCGAGCTATTTGCTGGGGTAGATGCATCTACGACATTTTCATTGGAAATTGAAACCCCATCCTTTTCTTTTGTTGGAGAAAGAACACAAATTTCTTCGCAATCTGGCACACGCTTTTCTTGACCTCGAGCCCTCAAAAGTTTCTTCTCAAAGAGTTTTCGAGTTGTAGGTGTAATTGGTCCTACGTTTAAGCCGCACCTCCTCAATTCTGATATCAACTCATCCGAAGAAAGTAAAGTGACATCCGCCATTTTGAAGTTTCTTCACCACAGGAAATCCAATCCCAATTCGGTTGCCTTTATTACTCATCTTTCTCATCTGTTGTTTTTATAGATAAATCATTTCACACATAATAGTAGAAAGCTTATATAATGAACAAAAAAATGACAAATAACAAAAAATAGACGATAATAATAGCAAATTAATGAATTCTCTTTTCCTAGTTTTTGRGCTTACTGTGTTGAAAATAGAGGTAAAGCCTGGTTCTAGTCCCGCGAAGTTCTCAGAATTTCGGATTCGGTAGAATCAAAATCAGAATATAAATTTGGTGGTTCCCCTTGGTTCACACTTGAGTCACAAGACTATTTTCGTATTGTTCGTGAAGATCTAACTGTTGAATCTACGTGGACCTTTATCGTGCTAGAACGATTGAAAATAGATAGCTTGATCAAGTCGCTAAAATGCCCGACAGCCAGAAAGTGTATCCTTCATGTTGTTGTTGCGATGGAAGCACAGATGAAAGACTTCAGACGCGATCTTCAGTGCTTTGTCCMAACGAAACGAAGAGTATTAACTCGCTTGAATTTGCTGAAGATTTGATAAATAAAAGTAAAGAAAGGTGTCATAATCCAACCCAATCTCTGCAGCTCCTTTCTTGTGGAGCAGGAGCATTGAARAAGCAAGCTTCTGTAGCTTCAGGTAAGATGGWCGGACTTTCGAAAGTAAGCTAATTAGACTTAAGAATTCTCTTTACAGCATCTCTAATGATTTGTATTCTATCCCAGCTATTGCCTCGTGTTTACATTTGTTTATCTTAAGTGTGACACTCCACTTCTTGCCTTGCTTACCTGAATCCGGAAGTGAAAGGTGAGAGATCTTTTATCGATAAATTAAATAAGATTACAAGGACTGCTGAGACGGAGCTCAGAAGGGGAATTTTCCATTTTGTATATCCTGTTATGTTCTCCTAAYTTACATATAGCCCTCCCTTCTCCCTTCTCCGAGGCTACCACACAAATAACAAACACAKTTTGGGCAAATTGATTATGACATTGACTGTATAACTGTTCTTATTATCTCTAGGCCACCAAGTAATAAAAAAATACCGCAGGAACATGACTTCATCATAAACAATTGTGCGAAAGGCAGTGACAAAGAGGTTGCTATTTGCTGTGATGGTGAAGGTGACACAAAATCAAAGAAAAGCACAGGAAAAACTATCCAAAATAACTCCAGTGGCTCTATAGTGAAAGCCAACTCGGGAATTACTTTACCCTTCCGAAAACAGACTAATGGTGATGATGATGAAGAAGATGATGAAAACAGAAATCGTAAAAGGAAGTTAAGCAGAGTGCCTTGCAGTAAAAGTCAACTAGAGCCTGATAATGATGAAGGACATAATGACAATGNTTAATACAACAAGGGAAATGCAATTAAGACCGAAATTAAATACTGTTCGACAAGTTTCAAACACAAGCACGGCATTTTGAGATTTTTGACTGCCTGACGTTTAGTCCCAGAACTAAACGTCAGGCAGTCGATTTTTGGTGTGAAAAATCGTCGGAACAACCGTAATTTCAATTAATACAACAAGGGAAATGCAATCATAAAGACCAAAATAATACTGTTCGACAAGTTTGTATAGTCACAAGCAAGGCACTTTGAGATTTTTTAACTGCCCGCATGACTGCCTGACGTTTAGTCCCAGAACTAAACATCAGGCAGCAAATTTTTTCGTAAAAATCGTCGGAATAACCGTAATTTCAATTAATACAACAAGCGAAATGTACTAAAGACCGAAACAATACTGTTCGACAAGTTTCAAACGCAGGAAGCACGGCATTTTGAGATTTTTCGAGTGCCTGACGTTTAGTCCCAGAACTATAACATCAGGCAGTCGATGTTTTTTTTTTGAAAAATCGTCGGTTCGACCGTAATTTCAATCAATACAACAAGGTAATGCACTAAAGACCGAAATAATACTATTGACAAGTTTGTATAGTCACAAGCCCCGGTCACAAGCACGGCACTTTGAGATTTTTCGACTGCCTGACATTTAGTCCCAGAACTAAACGTCAGGCAGTCTATACTTTTTTTGTATGAAAAGTCTTAATAGCACAAGAGAAATGGAATAAAGACCGAAATAAGGGTCTTGTCAGAAATTAGCGGTGAGAAGGGGAGGTGGAAATTGAAAAGTGGGTACTGGGAATAAGGTGATGACATACTAGAGTTGTGGATGAAGTGAAATGTACTAACCCTCTCTGTATCAGACCATCCCCCTTCAACCATTACCACAACAATTTATCATTGCCCCCAAGCAGCCAGTGAAAGATAGTGCAGGAACTATAATTAGACCATTGTTTCTTCATTTTGATGAAGTGATAATTATTAGGATATTTGATAGGCAGTTAATAATAATAATACTGATTGGTTCACAGTATAAATAGATAAAGAAAGTGTTTTATTTTGTTCAATAACCACAACAACACTTGAGACAAACAAAGTAAATCAAATGTATAAAGTAAGCAATACTTAGAATAGATGAATCAAATGTCCTAATCAACTGCCTATCAAATATCCTAATTCTTATCCCTTGAAAATGAAAAAAGGCCCTGCACCACTGATTCACTGGATGCTAATTGTGGGCAATGAAAAATTTTTCTGGTGGTTGAAGGGGGACGGGGAAGGTCACGATATTTTGCCTGTCTAATATCAGTAGAGTTAGAAAATTTCACTTCCCCACTGTGATTGATCACCCTATTCCCAGTACCCACTTTTCTATTTCCACCTCCCCACCCCCTGCTAACTTTTGACTAGACCCTTATTTCGGTCTTTATTCCAGTTCTCTTGTGCTATTAATTGAAATTACAGTTGTTCCGACGACTTTTCACAAAAAAGTATAGACTGCCTGAAGTTTAGTTCTGAGACTAAACGTCAGGCACTCGAAAAATCTCAAAATGCCGTGCTTCCTGCGTTTGAAACTTGTCGAACAGTTTTGTTTCGGTCTCTAGTGCATTTCGCTTGTTGTATTAATTGAAATTACGGTTAACGTTATTCCGACGATTTTTCACAAAAATTTGCTGCCTGATGTTTAGTTCTGGGACTAAACGTCAGGCAGTCACGCGGGCAGTTAAAAAATCTCAAAGTGCCTTGCTTGTGACTATACAAACTTGTCGAACAGTATTATTTTGGTCTTTATGATTGCATTTCCCTTGTTGTATTAATTGAAATCACGGTTGTTCCGACGATTTTTCACACCAAAAATCGACTGCCTGACGTTTAGTTCTGGGACTAAA